TAAACATTCTATAAATTCACGGATTTTTCTAAAAGACAAGAATGCACATACTAATAAATTTTGCATCCCATAATGTGCAATATCATGTGCTTGTTCTGATGGCTTGCTCGCACAGGTATGTGCCACGGTGTGCGGGTTCGAATCCCAGGATTCGCCCTTTTTTCTCCTCTTATTTCTCGGCCCACTGCCCACGTTTCGTTCTGGTGGGTTTTTTTTTTCTTTTTTCTCCTCTTATTTCTCGGCCCACTGCCCACGTTTCGTTCTGGTGGGTTTTTTTTTCTTGCCCACATGTCTCCTACGCAAATACAACATACATATGTAACATGTAGAGCTAGGACTGTTGTTTCAACCTCAGGGATCGTATTGATCACATATTTTCATGTACCGGGACCGTATTGAAGCAATAGGCAAGTTCCAGGACCAAGTTGGACGTTGCATGCGACTACGAGGACTATAGATGCAATTATCTCCTTATTCTCACGGTCAGCCATAGGCCCCAGAAAAACTGGCTCTTACTAAAGCGTGCTAGGTCGTCCAGTCAAAAAACAACATTGCTGAAGGGCCAGCAAACGTTTATTTGCTAGGCTTGTCCTAGAATATCTACGCAACACTAATGGCGCAAGAATTTTAAGGTAGCCCAAATAAAATTCCGGCGAGTTCATACAGAAGTACTGATAAGTATTGATGGAAACTTTATTGGATAACCCTTTTGTATTTTATTCTCGTAAGCACGTATTTTTATGGATGCAGCGTTGTCAAAATTATCAATGCTCTTATCAGCATATATACTTTTTAGGTAACATTTTCAGAATTGACACTATCAAAGTCTTTCACGTGTAGGGTTCATCGAAGAGAACTATATCCTTAACGTCGAGCATGGCAAGACATATCTGTTAAGGATAGTGAATGCTGCGCTCCACCCACAGTATTACTATAAGATCGCCGGGCATATGTTCACAGTTGTGGCCGCCGACGCAAACTATGTCAAACCGTACATGACAGATACCATCGCGATCGCGCCAGGCGAGACAGTCGATGTGTTGGTCGTTGCCAATGCGCCTCCTGGCATGTACTACATGGTCGCCTTGGGCATCATGTCACTAGGGCCCATCACCGAGACCCCAGCGTTCATCTCACGTGGGATTGTATCCTACAATAACCAGGCCAATGCAACATCTGATGGTACCCCGATAATGGTCCCTGAAATGCCCGATCAGCGTGAAGAAACTTTAGCCTTTTACTTCCATGACAACTTGACCAGCCTGGTGCATCACCGGGTGCCGGCAGACGTCGACGAGCGACTGTTCATCACCGTTGACACGGGGAACATGTGCAGAAAAGGTAGTGTACCAGCATGTGGTTTGGTGTCCCGTATGAATAACATCTCGTTCCAACCTCCGGCGAATGGGTCTTTGCTCCATGCACACTACAGCAACAATATGATCAACAACGTAATAAGCACTCTGCAAGACTTTCCCAGCAGGCCACCACCGAGGATGGTGTTCAACCGCGGCCATACGTCGAAGGCAACGTCGTTGAGGAGGGTGCGATACAACACCACCATGGAGATCGTGCTACAGGGACCGCCCATATGGCCCAGCTACCCTAACCCCATGCACCTTCATGGGCACGACTTCTTCATCCTTGCGCAGGGCCATGGGAGATACAACGCAGAGAAGGATGTGCAGGCATACAACTTGTTGGATCCACCGGTGAGGAACACGGCCCTTGTCCCCGTACTTGGATGGATGGTCATCCGATTTGTCACAAGAAATCCTGGTATGTGCATATTTATATATTATTTGTTCATATTCCTTGATCTGTGTTGAAATATCTTAGTTTTGATCCTACTTTGCCAATTGTACGATGATGAACAGGGGTGTGGTTACTACACTGCCATATCCAACAACATGTGTCCACGGGCATGGCAGTAGCATTCGTGGTGGAGAATGGACCAACGATGGACACTACTCTTCCCCCGCCTCCAGCAGATTATCCAAGTTGTGATAACCAAAATTAAAGTGACACATGAATAATGAAAATAGCCTACTCAAAGTTAGACTATAACGTTATCGTGTGCCTTATGTCTAGTCAGCCTTAGGCAAACATCGACTGGACTTTTGCCTTGGAAAGTATTTGTTGTGTTCCTTCAATTCAGTAATTTTACATGAGAAGTTTTATTTGAGGAATCAATTGTACCCGTTCAAATCCACAGACAAATCAGTTTGCGCATTTTTACATGGTCATCCAACCAGCGTCTAGTTTGTCTCCACCGACAAGTGTTGCCAATATTTTTTATCATTCGTTGGGCGGTATTCCAAATGGGTTCAAAATGTTAAAAAGGGTGGGAACGTATGCCTTCTTATGGTCGCCTTGGCTATGTAGAAATGACTTGGTCTTTAATGGCAAAAAAATTCTTCCCCTTTGCTGGTTATCATCCGATGTACACACTTGCTTCGTATATGGTCTATGCTATAACGAACGGAGTGTCAACCGTTGTTCAAGGTGGTGTGAATGCGATTGGAGAAGGTGGCTATGGAGTTTTTCCCAACATGGGTGGCAGCATAATCTCCGGATCAGTACATCACACTACTAGCGAAAAGCTTATACACAGAATCTTAGCAGTAGTGCTGGATAAAATGAGGCGCTGCTGCTACTTAGTAGTAGCGCGTGTCAGTAAGATGCACTACTGCTATCCTTTTAGCAACAACGCGTTTTAGTGAAACGCGTTGCTGCTAAGTTTGAATTGGGGCATAATGGCTAGCCCCACTTAGTAGCAGCGCATATCCAGATACCGCGCTACTGCTATGCTCCGTAGTAGTAGCACTTTTCTTCAACACGCGCTACTACTAATCCCATCTTATCATCCCCGCGCGACCGACCGCCTCACTCTCCCTCTCACTCACTCTCTCCCCCACGCCCCCGTCGTCCGCCGCCGCCCTCCACTGAGGTAGTCCCTCCTTCCTCCTCCTCCCTCCTCCCTCCTTCTCCACTGAGGTAGTCCCTCCTCCCTCCTCCTCCCTCCTCCCTCCTTCTCCGTCCGTCCCCTCCTCCCTCCTCCACCAGTCGCCCCCTCCTCCCTCCTCCACCGGCCGCACCCACCTCCCTCCTCCTCCGGCCGCCCACTGTTCTTGTATAATGTAATTTTTTACTGTGTTTATTAAGTGTTTAATAGAATTAGTAAGAAAATTAATAGAACTAGTTGAACTAGTTTATTTTTAGTAAGAATTAGTTTATTTTTATTTATATTAAGTGCTTAGTTGAACTAGTTAAATTAATAGAACTAGTTTACTTTTAGTAAGAACTAATTTATTTTTAGTAAGAACTAGTTTATTTTTATTTATAGTAAGTGTTAAGTTGAACTAGTTGAATTAATATAACTAGTTTATTTTTAGTAAGAAAATTTAGGTATATGATATTTGATGATCTAATTAAAATTTGACTATAGAACTAGTTTATTTTTAGTAAGAAAATTATTAAAACTAGTTTATTTTTTTATGTCATTATCACTTTGTCATCAAAGAATGCTATATGAGAATTGATGATCTAATTAAAATTTTACTCGGTGAAATATGCAGGCTTAGTCCTGTCTCCTTGGAGTGATCGTCCTCCGAGCTACACCCCCACTTCCTCTACACCCGAGTCGGTGAGCTAAAAGTCCACCTCCTCCTTCTCCACCTTCCTCTACATCCGAACTAGGGTATTTAGTTATGCTTCTTAGTCAAATGAAATGTTTGGATTATAAGATATATTGAAATGTTTTTGTCAATATTGAACCATTGGAATGCAATGAGCACTAGTTTATGCTCATGTGCGAAGTGTTCATTCATTTATGAGTGTCCTATGTTTTGTTGGAGTGTTGATTCATTTTCGTTCCAGTAATTTTCAGTCTCTTGATATGTCATATGTTTTGTCAGTGGAATTCAAAAGGGAGATCCCATCTCTCCATACCTTTTCTTTTTAGCAGCAGAGGGTCTTTCGTGCCTCTTAAAATCCCATAACCAATCATCCCAGCTCAATGTTGGGGAATGCGGTAATTTCAAAAAAAATCCTACGATCAAGCAAGGTCTATCTAGGTGATGCATAGCAACGAGTGGGGAGAGTGTGTCCATGTACCCTCGTAGACCTAAAGCGGAAGCCTTATATCAACGCGATTGATGTAGTCGTATGTCTTCACGATCCGACCGATCTCAACACCGAACGTACGGCACCTCCATGTTCAGCACACGTTCAGCTCGATGACGTCCCTCGTACTCCTGATCCAGTTGAGGCCGAGGGAGAGTTCCCTCAGCACGACGGCGTGGCGACGGTGATGATGAATTTACCGGCACAGGGCTTTGCCTAAGCACTACGACGATATGACCGAGGTGGAATATGGTGGAGGGGGGCACCGCACACGGCTAAGCAATCAACTTATGTGTGTATGGGGTGCCCCCTCCCCCGTATATAATGGAGTGGAGGAGGGGAGGGCCGGCCCTCTCTATGGCGCGCCCAAGAGGGGGAGTCCTACTCCCAGTAGGAGTAGGTATCCCCCCTTCCCTAGTTGAAGTAGGAGAAGAAGCAGGAGGGAGAGGGAGAGAAGGAAAGGGGGCCGACCCCCTTCCCAATTCGGGTTGGGCTGGGGGGGGGGAGCGCCCCCACCTTGGCCGCCTCCTCCTCTCTTCCACCATGGCCCATTGAGGCCCATTAACTCCCCGGGGGGTTCCGGTAACCTCCCGGTACTCCGGAAAAATGCCTGAACCACTCGGAACCTTTCTGGTGTCCAAACATAGTCTTCTAATATATCAATCTTTATGTCTCGACCATTTTGAGACTCATCGTCATGTCCGTCATCACATCCGGGACTCCGAACAACCTTCGATACATCAAAACATATAAACTCATAATAGTGATCGTCATCGAAAGTTAAGCGTGCGGACCCTACGGGTTCGAGAACTATGTAGACATGACCGAGATATCTCCGGTCAATAACCAATAGCGGAACCTGGATGCTCATCTTGGCTCCTACATATTCTACGAAGATCTTTATTGGTCAAACCGCATAACAACATATGTTGTTCCCTTTGTCATCGGTATGTTACTTGCCCGACATTCGATCGTCGGTGTCACCATACCTAGTTCAATCTCATTACCGACAAGTCTCTTTACTCATTCTGTAGTGCATCATCCTGTGACTAATTCATTAGTCACATTGCTTGCAAGGCTTATAGTGATTTGAATTACCAAGAGGGCCCAGAGATACCTCTCCGAAAACACGAAGTGACAAATCCTCATCTCGATCTATGCCAACCCAACAAACACCATCAGAGATACCTGTAGAGCATCTTTATAATCACCCAGTTACATTGTGACGTTTGATAGCACACTACGTGTTCCTTCAGTATTCAGGAGTTGCATAATCTCATAGTCATAGGAACATGTACAAGTCATGAAGAAAGCAATAGCAATAAACTAAACAATCATAGTGCTATGCTGACGGATGGGTCTTGTCGTGGATTTGTCACGGCAGATGTCCTTGTGAAAGGACTTAGTCGTGGAGCCATCGCTACGGGTTAACTTGAAGGGGTTAAAGCGGACACAAAGACACAAGGGTTTATACTAGTTCGGCCCCTTCGATGAAGGTAAAAGCCTACGTCTAGTTGTGATGGAATTGATGTGGTTTCGATGGCTAGGGAGCAAACAAGCTTCGCCTAGGCTCGAGTTGTTGTCCTTGAACCGCCGCCGGGTCGTCCCTTTATATACACGGTGACGCCCGTCGGTCCACAGAGTCCCACACCGGTTCATACTCGGATCCCGGTTGGTCTCTCTCTATTCCTAACTTACAATGCAAGTTTACATATCAAGCCGGTTTACGGCTACAGGTTCTAAACCGACTACAGGCCTTGGGCCTTCATCTGCTTAATCACCTTTAAACTACTAATGAAGCTAACCCGGCCCAGGTAGGCCGGTTCACGCCCAGTGGTAATATCCCCAACATTAGGCCCCAGATTGATTTGAACTGGTTCATGTCAATCCTTCACAAAAATCTTTGTCTTCAACATCTTCTGGTAATTGGTAAACCGCCATGTCGTCATCATCTCTGGTTGCTATAAACCGGCATGACGTTATCATGAAGTTAACATTTATGGCGCCTTCTTTTATTAATAGATCTGCGATACCCAAGGTAGCAGCTCCACTTCCGAATCTTGTGGCTCCTGGATTCGCGCGCCTAACACACGTCCTTTGCCTTATAAATAGGACCGAAGGGTCATTTCCTTTTCTCCCCTTCGTCTCTTTCTCTTCGTCTTCCTCGCGTCGCCAGCCTCGGAGCTCTGCCACCGCCATTGACCTCTGCACCGTCTTGGGCCGCTGTATCAACCTGAACGCTCCAGAGCACCGCGGTAGCTTTCCGCGTCTTCCTTGATTCTGGTAAGCCTTCTGCTCTTCTTAACATAGATCTGTTCTAGGGTTTCGTGTTCTTGCCGTGTTCCTCACTTGTTCATGCTCGTACCCAGACTCCTAGATAGATCTGTGAAACCCTGCTCTGATTAGTAGTAGCCTTTTAGCATCCGCCTGTAGTTTTACGCTCAAGTCTATAGATCTCATCCACATTCCTACCCCTTGATTTACTTCTGTTCTGCTTTAACCTTTTGAATATTTTCTGTTTTTCTGAACTTGCTTCAGATCCATTGCTGCAATAAGACCTTGTGAAACCTGTTTCTGCATACTTAGCCATCCGCAACCTCAATTGCTTTCAATGTTTAGATCAGGCGGTTTAACTTAATATAGAAAAATTTAATAAACTGGTATATACCATTAGTCCCCTTGTTGAACCACCAGACTTCTTTAGTCTTATTATGCTACCTCATAGAAATCCGGTTTAAATGTACTGCCTCTGGTTTAACATTGTTCATACCAGCGCATTCTTGAACCGGAATCACTTATTTCTTGTAGATCTCATCATGGCCAAACAAGTATATGAGTGCAACTGGGTTCCTTCTCGCGTCACAGAAACTCAGCTGGATAATTTAGTTTCAATTG